TTAAGTATTATATTAAAATTTCAAAATATACGAATTTATATGATTTTTTCCCTCCACTATAAGCTTTCAGGATTTTAGAAATGGTCTTGCAATTCACACATGTACATTTTATACATTTAAAAATAAAAAAAATACATCTAGGTAATTGACTTTTAGGCCTCTTTTAAAAATATCTAATTATTTTTAGCTACAGTTTTTAAAATGTATTGAAATTAGACGAGGAATATGAATTTTACACATTGTGAACGTGTTTCACTGCACTGTCACATATTTATATTTCAGTCCTTTCACAGTTTCAGTTGAAATTATAACCATTTCATAGAAGAGGTTGATTCAAAATATGAGTCTCTTGCCTATTTAAAAGTGAGGTGGTTTATTTGGATACCAATACACACTAAAAGGAAGCACATTTGCAGTGATATTACTACTTAAAATTTCAAAAATACTCTACACGTACGAAAGCATTCTTTCAAAACCATACATTACATCTTATACCCTGTTTTCTCCAAAGTAGGCATTACTTTTCTGTAAAAAAGTGCTCAAAAATGTAATATAATAACATTTTAATAACAAAAGTTAAGTGTTTTTATTGAATGAGTTATGATGACCACATATCGTTATACCAGTGGTGGTTTATCCACTGGGCGCTTGAGGTGGGCACCCAGGGGTCAGGATAAGCTGAACTTAACCAGATTTTCTGGTTATAAATTTCGATCCTCCAGTGCCGAGGGGGCCTTTAGATCTTCTGCGCCCAGGGCCCGAAATGAGGTTAAATCGGCACTGCATTATACAGTTAATTTTTAAGCAACGAAATACCAATTTTTAGGGTTCTCTAATCTATCTAAATGTTAAGATTATTTTTAAAATTTGGTTTGTGAACACGGTTAACTTCACTAGAATAAATTGTTTTAAGTGTACTGTTTTGAAAGACAAAATTAATTGGAGAGAAGTTTTTCTCACATAGGAATTTGTAATGACGGAGTTGAAAGATGTAGTTATCGATGACAATTTTCCAGTTAAAGATATATCGGAATAGGCATTTAAAGGTTGAAACACTAAAGAAACAGAAAGAAGGAAAATTAAACTTGAATAGATGATGGACAGAAATGTTTTCACACGCGTGCGTGCATAGTTGAGGAATGATATATCTCCTATTAAAATTAAAAAGTACTGACTGAATATGCGGTTTGTTCCGTCACAAATGCCGATATAGGGAAGGTATTTTTGCGTAATGCAAGTTGTTGAAAGGTAAGCAGTATGGAAGAAAATTTAGATTTTCCTCGAAAAAATTCATTCAACAGAAGAAAAAAAAAGGATTTTTTTAAAAATTTTTTTATTTTTTTATTTATTTATTTTTAAATTTATATGAATTGAAAGTATTTTTATTTTATCTTAATTTAAAAATTTAATTCAATGGAGAAAACTCAGTTTTATTTCATAAATCTAGTTATCGTGAATAATGATACTCCATTTTCGCTCTTTTTGTTAAAAAAACAAAACAAAAAAGGCGGCTACCTTTATTTTTTCCTTTCATTACTTTTTTAAAAACAGGGAAATATGCTTGCGTTTTCATTGTCTCATATTCAACAATGAATACAGGGTGCTTTTTTTGCCTAACTCTTTATCTACCGCATTATAATTTACTGCAATTTTTTTTGAATCACTACATTGAAAACTAAGGGATACACATAAATAAAATATTCACCTTTGGGAAATTTAATCCGTTAGAGCTAATTAATAAAATCGGTACTTTAAAGTATCGTTAGTCCACAAAGGTCTAAAATATTTTCATAGTACGAAAAGACTGAAGGACTTTTTTAACGCAGTTTTAACTCTTAAAAATTCTAAGTAACCAGAAAAAAATAATATTTTACAGCACAAAATATTTATTTTTAAAGATTATTAAATTTTTAAAATTTATTTACTTTTTTTACACATAAAAACTTAATTTGATGATATTCAAAGAAAGTTTTTCTTTTCATTAATACACAAAAATTCATTACACATTGTGCATTTTAAATGAGGTTTCATGTTGAATATTTTTTAAAGCACTGCTTTCTGGGGTGGGAAATGTATTTTCTTAACATGAACTACTGCACCTTGAGCCCTGTTGAGTCACTTGATCGTCATCTTAAAAATCTAACGAAAATTGCAGCAGATTATTTGCCGAGATTTCTTCATCTGAAAAATCATCTATTAGTACATCATTAATTTCAGATGGTAAGTTTTGTAATAAATCCAAAGCCTCTTGAAGACTGAGCTGCCTTTATCCAAACGTTCTAAGAAAAGGAAATAATAATTAATAATAGTAATAATAGCACATTTATTGAAAAAGTTAAAATAAAACACAATAAAATAAACAAAATAAATAAGAAATTCTTTCTCTAACAGCCAGTGTGCCGTCGGTACTTATAAGTACCATAAAGTTATTCAATTGTAAAATTAATTATACACACTATTCATTTAAAAAATAGTCGAATCGTTTTCTGAGGTCTTCATTAACATACGAATAAAATAAGACACTTTCCTTTTGACATTTAATTACTTTTTCGGAACAAAAATGACAATCTTCGCATTCCGATCAAAATATCAGCGGAAAACGCTACTTCTGCTATAAATCTATTCGCATTCTCCACTAAAATACTCATCACAGAAAAGTGCTGCCTTGAAACCTATCTTGGAAGAGTGTATTTAAAAGAATATTCCTGCTAAGTACCGTTAGAGTATTCGTAAAAATGGTTATTCTATGTAATTTTAAAGTGAGTGGTGCTTATAAGTACCTTCGGTAGATAAAGGGTTAAATTGTAATACCAAAATCAAACCTTTTTCATTTTTATAAATTTTTAAAAGTGACAGAAAAAATCTTTCTTTTGATTGAAGCAAAAAGATATTTTATTTTACAGATTTTAATGCACAATTTTTTTTCAAGTTTTATTATTTTTTTTATACTTTGTTTTCTTGTAATTTTACTGAGACTAAACAGATCGAACAACCAACTAAGTGGACATCGAACACATCGATCACATTGTGACATCTGTGAATGAGAATTTCTTGGTCCCAACAAAACAGCGGCCGAACGAAGTAAGCAATAAAATTGTTCCCTTCTATAAGGGTTGTGGACCACCTGAGTCGTAAAATGGGGAAGGAATAAATTTCTGAAAACTTTTTGTGACGCGTTTTGCTGAAGAGTGAACTTGAATGAAGCATCAGGTTCAACACTGGTACTAACTGGTACAGGGGCCAGTAGCGTTAATTCAATTCATTTCAAATATTAATTCATTAATTCAATTAAGAGGACCTGGTACCCATTGAACTACTTTATTTCTTTATACATTTAAAAATTATATTTTAGCATTTTATATAATGTTTCTATTCAAGAAAATGATACAAGATGAAATTTTTCACTTATTATTCACATAATTTTAAAAATTAAAGTTTTTTGAAGAAAATTTGGAAAATTTTAAAATCCTACTCCTTTAATTATTAATTTTTTGACCTGAATTTTTTTTTGTAATATTCTTATGGATGTTATAAACAACTTTAGTGATCAATTTTACAATAACCTAATTCGTTTTTGAGAGAAAAAAAATAAAATGATGATATGCATGCTAAAAATCAACGAAAAAGCCTATATCTCTTACATTTTAATTTTTTTAAGAAAAAGTATTCAGTTTACAGCAAAATGGGTCCCTAATTTTTTTACATGCTTTATATGTAACACTCAGGAAAAAAAATTGAAGTGATTGGTAAATAGTTTGGAAGGATTAGCATTTTGAATGCACTAATGTTTCGAAAAGCACAAACTAAGAAAAACCACTTTAAAGCTTGTAATTCTGAAAAAAAAAAAATGTAATAAGCTTAAATAAACTTAAAATACCACTTTAAGATATTAGTTATATATTTTCCTTTAAAAGAATTGTATTTTCAACCTATACATTTTTACATTTTTATAAATGATCAATTTTAAGAAGGTATTAATTGCACAAAAAAATTCAAGAAAAGGTTAAAAAAAAATTTTTTTTCCCGTCACGACAGAAAGTTTAGTTTTTTTCTTCACATAATATTTAAGTATTACATTTGTATGAAAAACATATCAGGAATAAGAACTGAAATTATGAAATTATTAATATAAAATGCCTTAATTCAAAAATTTTACATGCACACATTTCACAAAGAAAAATTACATTATTGTATTTTCTCGGAAATATTCTGCTTTTTATATTACACATTCTTTTTTTATAGTTATTATTTCTCTTTATAAAATAGATTTTTTTACCATAACGCTTTTTTGAGCTTTTTTTCTAAAAAGGGGGCGTGGCCGAATTGCCCAATTTGTTTTCAAATGAAGTTTTCTTCAACTTCTAACTTTCCGACTTGCACAAGTGATATATCAATCGAAAGGTAATAATGCAAAGAATGAGATTAAATACAAATAAAAAAACAATAGGTCGGTCATTTTTGGGGTACCAAGTCTTCTTAAAAATGAATAAATATTAACAAAAATAATAATCCAACAACATAAATAGAAAGGAAGCTTCCTCGTTGAGTCCCTGTAGCGCAATGGATAACGCTTTGGACATCTAATCCAAAGGACGTAGGATCGAATCCTAACTGGGATGGACTAATTTCTGAGGATGTGATTTATGAATGAATAAATAAGTAACTAACACACAACAATAATAGTCCATCACCATGTATATCAAGGAAAATCGCTTTCTACTTTGTCTCTTAATATTGTGATTCTGTCATATAGTCGGCCTAGTTATCAGACTGCGTAACTCCACTTGTATAACTGATTTGATATAGGGGTGCAACGCGCCAAGCGCTTTTTGGCGCGGTTCCTTAATCCTTTTGTTTTGTCTACGCCATGCCTCAGTGCGCGTTCCGCTTTTAATTTATTCCTCGATAAGTGTAATCACTACTCTTTTTTTTAATTTTATAATAAAACTAGATTTCGAAGGGAGAGGTGGTGGGCAAGATTTTAACATCAAATAAATACAGCAGAAAGTAATATTAATGTATTACACTTCCAGATATAAATTATTTAGACTATTTTAAGCATTCATTATGCAAAATTTGTAACAATGAGTTACTTTTGATTGAGCAGAGATCCCGTGGAAAAAAAACCCAAACAAAAAACTAACACTAATATACGTTTTCCCCATGGCAACCACATTATCACATGATAAAAATATCAAAGTAAACCATATTGTAATATTATCGCCTATCTTGGCGAACATAAACAACAACTTAGGGCCTAGCCCTACTGTATCAAATTAGTATCCCAGATGGAGTTACGCAGTCTGATAATTAGACCGACGATATGTATATACATATTTATACTAATTGTAACTATTTAATAAAAAGTGACTAAAATAAAATGTTTCTTTGTTGACCTAAGTAGAAATTGACTTATTTTTTTCATATTACATTTTACGTACAGGTTAATTGAACTTTCTGAAGTCTCATTACCATGTTGTGGGAGTTTTGAGAGTGAAACACCAGCTCCAGTCTTCTCGTCACTAGACATTGGATCAAAATTACGGTAATTGAGGAAAATTGTCACCCTCATATAGCTCTTACATCCGATGATAATATACAATCAACCAATCACCATTTTGACATTTTAAAAAATTATTTTAATATTCTCTTGTCGTTCGTGATAATTTTAATGAATAAGCGTATTTGTTATATATGTTGACTTAATTGTTACTACTATTGACGTAGCCTTGTGTAATATTTTTTTATTTTTATTTATTTTATACTTAAAGGTTCAACAAAGATCCCACCGAACACCGAACAAAACAGTAAAACAATGCATTTGTTTCTTCTATAAATAACCTAATTCACTGAAAGGAAAAATATATTCACGCATTCGCTTTTATTTTGAGATTTCCTAAGAATGCACCAGAGCGAAAGACCCTCTTGTCAAAATTTCCAATTTCCTTCAACAATTCTGAAATGAAGAATGCACTAATATTCTTAGTGTTCTATTGCGTTATTTGAAAAGAGGAAAGCAATAAAATAAATACTTAAGAACGTCTCATCAAATTTTCAATCAGGGCAATATTCGAATTTTCTAAATCTCTGACAGACCGATCTTTTGAAGTTTAGAGGAATTGTGACAACACTAGAGTTTTTAATTATTTACTATAGTTTAATAAAGGGACGGCCACTCAAAGATATCTCTTTTTTGTAAAATAAAAGTTACTTGCATTATTTTGTCCATAAATTGAGATTTTTAAACAAAATTAAAGAAATTTTTAATTTGAATTTACTAGACATTACAAATAAAATAATATAATAAATATATTTGGGAGCTAATATTACGAGGAATATTTAGTTTTCTTTCTTAATAATAAGTTCTTATATTTTTACGTCTGGATTTTTCTTTGCTGTTTGTGAAATGAGATTAAAAAGCAAATAATTTAAGTCCTCAACCGGTTTGCTAATTTTTCATAATATTAGTTTAATTTTCTTAACTTATTTAAATTTCTCAAACTGCAACCCACACAGGCAGGCAGCTATTAATTACCTCCCACTTTCTGTTCCGTAATTTCAAAGTAGCCAATTGAGTGCTAAGTCACAGATCACTATCGACCAATAGCAGATGAGTCAACTGTCTGCTCGCATGGAAAAATCTTAACCATCTCGGATGTCTCCGAAGCCGTCACCGTAGCCCCACCCCTTTGGTCTTTCCAATCTACCAATCAGGAAGCTTCCTCTCAATCAAAGCCTCTCTAACAAAAATCCACATATACTTTTCTATATGGGATGGAGGAACGTTACACGTTCCGTTTTCCAAAGATATTTGGCTTCTCCAATCGGTTTGCCCGTATGTTGTACAGCAGTGCTTCTCAAACTTTCTATATTCGCGACCCAATTTTCAACCAGAATTTCCATCGCGCCCCCCTTCCCCATACAATAACAATGTATTGAATGTGGTACTAATGTATAATACTTTAACGCTAAAGCTACAATACGACCCTAATTTTAAACCGTACAAAGTATGAAGATAAGTATTAAATTTTGTGCATGATAAGCCCATTGAAAAATCACTAGTAATTATTAAACTTGTTCTTAACTTAGTATCAAATATATTGTACCGTACTGAGATACATTTATAAGTATACTATAATGTGTATTTTTTATTATGTCAGAATTCATTTTGTTTGGTTTCCTTTTAGCAAATTGATAATTTTTTAAATAATCTTTTATTTTCGACTTTCCGATGCGCTCGCGCCCCCTTGAAAGGTTATCACGCCCCCCTAGGGGGGCGCGCCCCACAGTTTGAGAAACACTGTTGTACAGGCATTGATGTTTTCTTCTTTCTATTCTCGTATTCCTAGCTCTTATAGTTGAATATTAATGCTAATGTGTTTAAGAGATGCAGTTTATCCACGATACTAAAATGCTTCTCGTCCGGGATTTTCTTTGTCCTGAAGGCGGAAATTTTTCTTTGAAGGCTGGAATTTATATTCTTGAAAATGCTTGATAAATAACAAGGATCGGAAAGACAATGTACAGTTTGTTGCTTGAGAAGAAATGAAAATGGAAAAATAATCCAAAATGCCGATGTGTTTTTGCCCAGAGTGCAAGATTGTATTACACCATGTGTGCCTATGTACATGCTTACACGCACAAAACCTTTAACCGTTTGTAAAAGAGATACAAAAACGAAATTTTTTTGGAAGTATGAGAGAAATTCTTTTAAGATATATGAAACATTCTTCGTAGCATGCAGAGTGTACATATAAAAGGCAAACATTTAGCGGTTTTTGCATTTCACAATTATAAAGTAAAAAATTGAGTGACAATTTTAAAATAGAAAATGAAAACAAAATTATTTTTTTTCTCCATTCTATTAAGTATTACACTTAATTATATGCAATTAAAAAAAATGTGCCTTCTTTCAAAATCATTTTGGGCAAAAAATTGACTGGTTAAGGATTTAAAGGAAAATAATATTTCTTTTGAACAATGTGACTCAATAATATCGTCCGTTATTCTGGACATCATTTATTTTTAAATTTTTACAGAAACCAAAAGTTGAGCTGAAATCACAAATTTAAATTTGTTCGCGGAGTACTTTTTTCAATTCCTCTACTATTAGTTCACTCTCTCTTTATATATATATATATATGGTTGGCTGGCCAAAAAACATGTTCAACCCCACTTTTATATAAATTATTTTATATATTAGCTGTCCTAAGTCAGCAATGTTTATAACACTGCAGCATCCATTTTATAATTTTTAATCTCGGTTATCCATATGTCTTTCATTGTGTGATTTTCCTACTGTCTATGTGTTTTTAGAATGTGATTGTTGGATGTTGTTATCTCTTGTTTGTAGAGAATAAGCCTATATATATATATATATATCTTGTTCAAATTTTAAATCGTTAATAAAATACTTTCTATTCTTTCATTCAAGTTCGAATATACTTTTTTAAGCTTGCAGTGGATGACACTTGATGTTAATACAGTTTTTCCAAATATTAATTCATTAATTAAATTAAAATGAATATACTCATGAAAATTAAATATGCGAGTATGCTTCTCAATAACATTTTGCTTATTAACGTAATACTTTGAACGTACTCCTTAAAATTATACGAGCATTTAGAACTTTTATGAAATTTCTAAGCTTCAATTAACCTGTGATGGAAATTTTAAAGATGCTATGGATATTTATTTAAATAAGGAATGTGTAGTAGCGAAAGCTAAATAAAACACATTTGAATTTTCACATCCATCCTGATATTCATTATTGGATTTATGTAAACTGTGTGTGTGTGTGTTTTAGCGCACTGTTCTTTCTAATTTAAGGTATGTTATTTAAACAATATTTCACCACTTTTATTTTGACAGGGTAAAATAAGCCAATTATTGACGGTGAATGTAATTACTTAATTTATGTTATAGAATGTGGTGAAAGAGTTTTCATTCGCGCTTCTCTACTTAACATGTGATACTCCTCAAATAAATTAAATGTGATTACTGATGAAGTTCTAGAAATATTTTATCTCATAATATGACAAATTATAATAATTTGAATGTCAAACAGAATTATTTCAACGTATACTTTGAAATTAAAGAGAGACAGAGAGAGAAAGAGAGATAGAGCTTCTTCTATAATTAGAATTTAATAGAAGCAGTGCCGGCCCTAGCAGTTTTGCCGCGCTCGACTAAATTAGAAAATGCCGCCGCTCTTTCGAAAGCAAAAATTATAATTAAAAAGATAAAGTGTTCACATAAATACACACCTATGAAACTTGAATAATTCTTGCGAACAAAAAGGCAGCATAACAATTATAAATTTATATTTTTAAGTCTTAAAAAATACAAAAAAAATTTGAAATTAAGGACATAATTACCTGTTATTATTTCAAACGAGTTAAATATAAGACAAGGAATCAACCGTTTTAGCATGCCAATTTCTTCTACAAAAAGTCTACTGATGGTGGGAATCACAAACGTTTACTTTATATAACTAATAGTGGCTACACTTAAGACTAAAATAAAACATCTTCCGTGACTCTCTATCTACAGAAAACTCTTATTTCCCCTATCTCCTTTTTAGATAGCTGACACCAGACATCATATGGGTGAAACGAAT